ACACACACACACACACACACACACACACACACACACACACACACACACACACACACACACACACACACACACACACACACACACACACACACACACACACACACACACACACACACACACACACACACACACACACACTAACAACGTAACATGGGACGACGCCGTGAGTCATTGCTTTCCTTCATGTCGTGTTCGATAACAATACACAGAGGAATGATTGAAAATCACGACGAGGAAGGATGTAACCTCACCTCGCTTATCGCGTATCAAACGCTGCGGATAATTTGACCAATTGCCGTTGATTAACATCGTCCTAACGGCGTATTAAAATTAATGATAGCGGCTATACAATAACCATCTCGGACAGCTGGCGAGGATATGTAATTACAACGCACAAAGTCATAGTAGTGAAACGTGATACGGAAGTAATATCTCATTTGTGCGCGAGCAGATTGCTCGGAGTAATGGGAGATGTGGAAGCGTCGTATTTAGGTACATGGTGTACAACGGTAGACAGCGTCCATTGACAGCATGCCTGAATTAACAGCATCGAACAGAAATTAACTACAAATACCCACAGTGTTACGTCGCATAGACAACATACACTTTATTTAATGCCAAATAACCACAAATTCAAGCTCTCTGCTCCGCTTGAAACTTTTGCCAGCTAAATGATGCGCATTTCTACAAAGTAGTCGGCTCCCGTTTCAAGCACAAAAATGGCCGACCGGTCACCATGGATACGCCACTTGACGGAATGGCCCAATTACAGGAAAAGACTAATCTTACTACTAATGCCTTATAGACGTCCACGAGGCATATAACTTGCGTGCATAATGCAAATTAATGCACTCTAGTGCCGAATCTTACAGAAAATATTAAAAAGAAGGTCTTTTCTAGGGACCAAATAGTGCAACTTTGGGCATTTGCGGTGAACAATTTGCGGAGGTTTACTGTTGTATGCCCCCTTTACGATTTTAATTCATGGAGGCGGCTCGACGGCACAAAATTGCACAACCTGGTTGCGCAAGAGAAGCACTTTCGTGAGCAGTTGTTGCCCATTTGCGCCATTGCAGTTCGTCCATACAATTTGGATTTTACGCAATCGAAATTTATCCCTCAACAGTAACGCGCTGTATGATTAAGCCTTCGTCGTGTTTGTAGACATGATTGTTTCGATTGTTTAGTCACTGATCGTAGCCGATCAACAGTTATAACGCATACGACTGGTGTAGGTGAGCAATTTAGTTGTTGTATGATAATATTTTATAATATAATATTTATTGATTTATATTACGCACGTTACATGCAGATATGTTCACGTGCGCATTACAAAGGCTGATTATAAAACAGCGGACTGCAACACTGTAAAACATAGATACTAGAAACGACAAGTATGGTAGTATGGCAATGGATTTACTGTCAATTTGGCCGTGAGAGGGCGCTACAGTGTGTATTCTGAATATCATGGTCGGTTTGCACGCAAAATCGCATATCTTTACAAGACCAGCCATATATGGACGATAAAAGTATTACTATGCGTCATACCTGACGTAGAATTAAGATTCGATCGCTTAAACA